ATCCGGCGGCAGTTCCTCATACAGCTTGGTATGCCCGTCACCCTGGAGCTGGACGCCTCTTAGGACCTCTTGCAGAGGGGGGGCAGGCCAGGGGAACCGCTCTCCCAGGGGGTCGGCGAGGAGGGCGTCCCGGACCGCCCGGCCTCTGATGACCAGGGTCGGCACTCCTACTGCGATGCTGTATTTCTGGGTCAGACGACGCTGGGAACAAAAGGGAGCATAATTTACTAAAGCTATCTAAGATCTGGATGCATTCTGCTGAAAGAAAATATCCTTGAATTTTTGATAATGACAATATTTCATGGACCTATAATTCTGTCTGGTTTTTTTTATAGAGATTGTTCAAAACCTCAACTACTCCAGCGCGTGTTTTGATCAACAGAAACATGTCAACATTCAACAAATTGACATTGTTTCATTATCAGTACATTTTTGTTTGCATCAACGATATTTGAAACGTTTATTTTATTTGTATAGAGAACAATAGTGTTTGGACAAACCTCAAGAGGATTTAAGACACTATTGAAATAAAATATAATGGCTAAATAATGTTAATAATAAATAAATTAAAAAAAAACATATCTGGTGGAAAACACGTACGTAGTGAAACAATGTTTTGTGTAGACAATTTAGCAGAATGTTGACATGTTTTGTTGATTGTGTAGGGCAAAACACGCGCTGGAGTGGCTTTACTATAGTATCCAAATTTTTTCTACCAGAAGAACGTTCACAAATTATTAAGTCATAGGGTATTTTATCATTAAACATTTTTGGCTTATTCTAATCATCACCAATCTTGTTAAGTAGCATTATCCCCTTTTGTGTTTCAAAAACATTGTTTAACTAATCGTGTAATTCAATCCGTTTTATGAATGAAAATTCCCACGCCATCAGAATCTTGAAAGGAGGTTATTATTGAAACTTTTTGTTCGTTATCTATTTCTAAGATTATGTTTTATCCCAGGAAATATTACCGAAGAATTAGATTTTTGACGCTTAGTTCCAGTTGGGTGAATCTGACCATGTAATTTAGGAATAACTGGACCGTTGGGTGTTGAGAAAAAGTTCACAATGAAAGATTGATAAATAATTGTTATCCTACCTTTAAGTCAGGAAGAAAAAATAAACTGAAAATTTTGGATCGCATAGCAATTTTTTTTTCTATTGCAATTTATAGGACAGTAAATTATTAATTTACTTAGCCGATTAAATGAGCTGTCAAATGAAAACAAAACTTCTTCCTAAATATTTTTCTAGAAGTCATTAGGTGCATAATTCGTCCATTTACATGTTTGCTGTCTGCAACCGTTTCGCGACATAGACGAAGGTTATCGTCCCATCCTTTTCGACGAATAGATTCGATAAACGCGAAAGATATATTAATTTCTGGTCAATAGGAAGCTAACTTAGTAACAAGCGATCGCTATTCCATACACGCGCGTATCGTTCACACTTCGACGGTAGGTACAGTCATAAATCTATAACGCGTATTACCGGGCCACTGATAGAAAATGCTGGGTCAGTGTTGTGGTAACCGGTAGGTAATCAATCAAAGTTGTATGTGATACCGGTTAGGATTAAGGACAAAGAGACGACCTAGGACCGAGCCGCCTGGAGACGCATAATACGGAAGGCAGAGCCCAAATAAAATGGGATTAAGATCGGCCAGACCCAGGACAGAGCCTGGTGGAGACACATGATACGGAGGGACAACGCCAAATAAAATGGGAAAGGGCGAGGAAAAGTAGAAAAAGACCGGTTAGGATTAAGATACAACTGTTCTGCAGAAATGCCTTCCACTAAGTAAAAATTAACAGATTTTGTGGAATCTTACTTCAATTGCTCGTACTAAATCTTGCGTCGGTTTCATAGCATTACAGTTACCTAAGCTCTTGATGAAAAGTGATGATCATTCATCAGGCGGAAGGTCCTCAATCAAAGAGTAACTTGCGAAACACAATGATGTTATTAGCATTGTGGTTATGGCGACGGACTGAAAATTAGATCAGTAGAAAAAGCTAGATTTTCTTTTTTCCTTTTTTCCTCTCGTTAATCCATCGTGGTAAGTTAAATATGCTTGTGTTACGAATGGGTTCACCATAATAGTCTAGCGGCCAACAGGGTTTGATCCCGCGTTCCTCAGATCAGCTAATCCGGCACCAATTCTATTCAAGTTCAAACGTTTTTGGGCTATTGTTGCCTAAAGTTAAAAAATCTTCTTATTCTCAAAAAGTTATGTTGTGTTAAATTTCAGCACACCCATTATGATAACTACTTTGGTATCAATACCATAAGTCCTGGTATGATACCAATACCAATAAGTCACGTTACTTGCACCCACGGGTCACGTCGACGCGCGCTGCATGCCAATGCCCCATGGAACAATGGACGTTTTTGTGACTAACCCCATCGATCTGTTTGTTTTGGAGGACAGACGGTTTGTTAACCCTTCGTGTGCAAGAAGTTTGGTGGAGAGATTCTATGGGCCTGAATTACTAGTGAACAGCCAGCTGATGGTGTAAAATGTAGAGAATGTTGTAGGTCGGACGGTCAGTGTTAAACACAGTTACCATACATTTTATTAAATACATAAAGGCTTTTTAACGCTTTTATTAAGGTCGACCGACTTGTTACTAAGAATGGAATCTAAGAATCTGAATTACACGCACTTCTAATTCTTGCCTCTGCACTACCTTCGAGAAAAACCGAAACGTTGCGCGTTGCTGGTTAAGTAAAACTCATAAAAAACACATAAAACTCATTTATTTTTGCAAGTAGCGAACATAACTAATGAGAAATGTAAAGCAATATAATGAACACATACATTATTGTATGTGTGTGTACCTATCTAAATTGTTGTAAATCCATTACTGTGTTGTATGTTTTGGTGTAACACTTTATGTCAATAAAGAATTTATTTTATTTATTTAATTCTTTTTGGTGTCGTATTTTGATTCGTTTAAAAGTAACCAACCCTAATTACTTTTCTAATTAGTCGTATTTTATTTTGACTCTACATTTTATGATTTTTTCTCCTCTTTAGCCCCTTCATTAAAGCTGGCGGCAAATTAAGCAAAGCTCCCGGGAAACCTGTCGCATTTCTATAAGAGCAGAGCTTTAGCACTCCGTAGCTTTTAGCTGATTGCGGCAGCTTTGTACAGCCACTCGATGTTCGCGGAAAACGGTGGTTTCCTGGAGAAAACGCGAAAAAAAAGGAACAGGAGGATTTTCTTCAAAATAGTCGCGTTAGAGTCTGCATTTGTTTTTGTCAAAGTTGTGTTAACGGTCATTTTATTCGACAAACTTCAATGACATCAACGCCATACAAAACATCCTTGAATGTAAGCAGTTGTTTACTGTTTTTGCAATTTTTGATGTAGTACGTAATATAAATGTATTACACCATTAGTAGGTGTTTGTAGAATTTTTTATCACTATTTCTGCCATTGTTTTTGCAATTAACTACGCAGCAAGCTTCGTGACTCATGTTTATTTACTAAAAACGTAAATCTCGCTGGTAAAAAGTAGAGATGAAACGGATAGTTGTTTGGCCGGATACCGGATACCGGATATCCGGCGAGCTGCTAGGCCGGATAGCCGGATATCCGGCGGCCGGATAGTTGTCCCATTGTCATGTTGCATGTCGTAACGAGTTTAGCGCCACACAGGTGCTTCGAACGCGATTAGTGGGTCTAGTAGACTAGACAAGTCACACTTTTCAAAAATCGAATTCGTTCGAATAGAATGTCAGATTTTGCCACTCGTCTAAGGGGCAGATCAATTCGGGCGATTTCGGTTGCCATCGTGAGTATGTGATTGAATAGCGAAAATTCAATTAGTTTACTTGCTGCATAATCTGACTGAACTGCATTATACAGGGTGACTTTTAAATCGTTGGCATTCTTTTTAAAATAAGACTTTACTCATGATTCCCCAAATATGAGTCATATCAAATGAATTAAAATTTCAATATTTGAAATCTTGTACAGACGACAGCACATCAATCTTCATTCTGTGGCATCTTATTTCAATGTATTAAGTGTTATTTTGCAACAAAATGTATAGGATGATGTGCTGTTGACTATACAATAGTTTTAAACTCTTTAAGAGCACACTAATACAAATACATAGTTTATTTTTATTCATTTAATTTTATTTATTAGGACAACCAACAAGACAAACACGCATACATGGAATTACTATAGCTAGAAGTGCTTAGAACTAAGTAGTTAAAATAATGACAAAAAATATCATTGGACAAATCCAATATCCAATTTCCCAAATATGAGACAAATCTCATATTTGGGGAATGGAACTAATAGTTAAAATAATGACAAAAAATCTCATTGGATTTGTCTCATATTTGGGGAATGCACTATGTTTTATGAGTAGTCTTATATTAAAAGGATGCCAACGATTTCAAAGTCACCCTGTATGTCATCAGACCATCAGTGAAAAAAAGATCGCCTATTTTATTAGGCAATATTTCGACATTAAAATATGTTTACTATTTATGTATTCGTCATTAGAGTGGATAGCCCAGAAAGGAAATTAGTTTTTTGAAAGGCCTTAATATGGCTTTTTGTAACTTTTTAGACTTTAGATAAAAATCGTCATTATTATAAGCCATTTTATGGATATTTAACTCAAAGATGAATGTGTTTCATTTTATTATAGGAAATTTTCGTTGTTTTTTAATATCCGGTATCCGGCCGGATAGTGAGCTACTATCCGGTATCCGGCCGGATAGTAAATTTAGGCCGGATATCCGGCTTACCGGATAGTTGCCGGATATCCGTTTCATCTCTANCTCGTACTAAGCTAAATATGCTTGTGTCACGAGTGAGCTCACCACAATAGTCGAGCGGCGGCGGGGACCGAACCCGCGTTCCCCGGATCACGAGTCGGCCAGTCCGACCCCTTCACCGTTCGGCTATCGTGGCTTACGATATACTCATAATACCTACAAGCTTTGCTAAGCATTTCCATAAATAAGCGGGCATAACGAGTCCAAATATTTCATTGATTTTGGACCTTCAAAAAGGGTTGCCATCTCAAAATTTGACAACCAGGATAAGACGCGTGAAAACCCCGGATTTTGGGGCCCAGAACCCTATGTCAACAGGTTTTTATAAAATTTAGTTGCATTGCCCGGCATTGGCCCAAGATTTAATTTTTTATACCCGGATAATAAATAAAACCCTGCCCGGACGCTCCCCGGACACCCTCTAAATTAGGACAAATCCGGGGAAACCCGGACGGATGGCAACCCTACCTTAAAACAACGGAGTAAAGTTCAAAATATGATGGGAACTATATTCCCACTATTGTATAAAGGGTTAAATATTTAAAACTGACCTGTCACTAGAGACGAGTATGAGCTGCGTGTTAGCGTACTTGGCGCGCCGCTTGCGCACCGCCGCGAGCGCCGAGCACAGGCTCGGGGCGAATGCTCGGCAGGGCGGGCACTGAAACAAGTGACAAACATTCACTACACATAGGGTTACGGAAAATATGTAGTTACTTTCTTTAAGATAACAGCAGAAGATGTAAGGAATCCTTGCTTTGTAAACTTGAAACTTGACCTTCACTGGTTGAGTTTTTATTGGCGGTCAAGCTGTAGATCCTGGCTACACAGGAGTTGCAGTGATGGGAGAGGTGGGAATAGTCCAGTGCTTCGTAGTTTAATGACGACATCAGAAGAAACCCTTTCATTTCGCGACTCTACGACATTTTGATCAAGAATAATAACAGAAATAATAGGCTCGATTTTGCCCAAAAAATGTATGGAGACTGTACAATACTGTAGCAGGCTTCAATTAGCCTGAATATCTGAACAGAAGGCCCATTAGCCAATCGGCCCGATTGAGCCACTTTAAATGTGATCCGACCTCATCTACTACCCACAATAGCAAAAGATTAAACTCATGCTTTAACGTTTATTCTCCTTCTCAGTGGTTTCACTCTTAGAAAAGCGGTTATAGTCACGTTGAGGCTTCCACGTCTAATGTAGGGGAGACCTAGGAAGTTTGTAACAGAGCTGAGTTGTTACAAAATCGATTTCTCTACGCCTATGACAGTTAGCGAGCTTGGAGTGTCGAAAGAGCAACGAATTCGTGAAGTTGCTAGCTCCATAAGCTGTCTTAGGTTCAGAGAAATTGTCTTTGTCCAGCTCTGTTACAACTCTCCTTCCAGGGGGTATTAGTCAACTCGCCGTCATCATTTAAAGTTTCTACTTAACTTTAAAAGGTCTACTTACCCAATGAGCAGCAAAATAGAACACGCGCACTGAATCCGGCGGCAGTTCCTCATACAGCTTGGTATGCCCGTCACCCTGGAGCTGGACGCCTCTCAGGACCTCCTGCAGAGGGGGGGCAGGCCAGGGGAACCGCTCTCCCAGGGGGTCGGCGAGGAGGGCGTCCCGGACCGCCCGGCCTCTGATGACCAGGGTCGGCACTCCTACTGCGATGCTGTATTTCTGGGTCAGACGACGCTGGGAACAAAAGGGAGCATAATTTACTAAAGCTATCTAAGATCTGGATGCATTCTGCTGAAAGAAAATATCCTTGAATTTTTGATAATGACAATATTTCATGGACCTATAATTCTGTCTGGTTTTTTTTATAGAGATTGTTCAAAACCTCAACTACTCCAGCGCGTGTTTTGATCAACAGAAACATGTCAACATTCAACAAATTGACATTGTTTCATTATCAGTACATTTTTGTTTGCATCAACAATATTTAAAACGTTTATTTTATTTGTATAGAGAACAATAGTGTCTGGACAAACCTCAAGAGGATTTAAGACACTATTGAAATTAAATGTAATGGCTAAATAACGTTAATAATAAATAAATAAATAAAAATAAATAAAAATCCATACCTGGTGGAAAACACGTACGTAGTGAAACAATGTTTTGTGTAGACAATTTAGCAGAATGTTGACATGTTTTGTTGATTGTGTAGGGCAAAACACGCGCTGGAGTGGCTCTAGTATTTCAGTATCCAAAATTTTTCTACCAGAAGAACGTTCACAAATTATAAGTCATAGGGTATTTTCTATGACTTATTCTAATCATCACCAATCTTCTTAAGTAGCATTATCCTCTTTTGTGTTTCAAAAACATTGTTTAACTAATCGTGTAATTCAATCCGTTTTATGAATGAAAATTCCCACGCCATCAGAACTTTGAAAGGAGGTTATTATTGAAACTTTTTGTTCGTTATCTATTTCTAAGATTATGTTTTATCCCAGGAAATATTACCGAATAATTAGATTTTTGACGCTTAGTTCCAGTTGGGTGAATCTGACCATGTAATTTGGGAATAAGTAGACCGTTGGGTGTTGAGAAAAAGTTCATATTGAAAGATTGATAAATTGTTATCCTACCTTTAAGTCAGAAAGAAAAAATAAACTGAAAATTTTGGATCGCGTAGCAATTTTTTTTTCTATTGCAATTTATAGGACAGTAAATTATTAATTTACTTAGCCGATTAAATGAGCTGTCAAATCAAAATAAAACTTCTTCCTAAATATTTTTCTAGAAGTCATTAGGTGCATCATCTTAATTCACTACATTGATTCGTCCATTTACATGTTTGCTGTCTGCAACGGTTTCGCGACATAGATGAAGGTTATCGTCCCATCCTTTTCGACGAATAGATTCGATAAACGCGTAAGATATATTAATTTGTGGTTAATAGGAAGCTAACATAGTAACAAGCGATTGCAATTCCATACACGCGCGTATCCTTCACACTTCGACGGTAGGTACAGCCGTAAATCCATAAGTATTACCGGGCTACTGATAGAAAATGCTGGGCCAGTGTTGTGGTAACCGGTAGGTAATCAATCAAAGTTGTATGTGATACCGGTTAGGATTAAGAACAAAGAGACGACCTAGGACCGAGCTGCCTGGAGACGCATGATACGGAGGGCCGAGCCCAAATAAAATGGGGAAGGGCCAGGCAAAGAAGAAGACCGGTTAGGATGAAGTTAAACAACTATTCTGCAAACATGCCTTCCATTATGTAAAGAATAACAGATACAAAAGCTCTCTAAACTTTGCATCGGTTTCATAGCATTACAGCTACCTAAGCTCTTGATGAAAGTGATGATCATTCATCAGGCAGAAGGTACTCAATCAAAGAGTAACAGGCGAAACACAATGATGTTGTTAGCATTGTGGTTATGGCGACGGACTGAAAATTAGATCAGTAGAAAAAACTAGATTTTCTTTTTTTACTTTTTTCCTTTCGGTAATCCATCGTTATAAGTTAAATATGCTTGTGTTACGAATGGGTTCACCACAATAATCTACCGAACGACGGGGTTTGATCCCGCGTTCCTCGGATCAGCTAATCCAGCACCAATTTCAAACGTTTTTGGGCTATTGTTGCCTAAAGTTAAAAAATCTTCTTATTCTCAAAAAGTTATGTTGTGTTAAATTTCAACACACCCATTATGATAACTATTTTGGAATTAATACCATATATCCCGGTATGATACCAATACCAGTGTCACGTTACTTGCACCCACGGGTCACGTCGACGCGCGCTGCATGCCAATGTCCCCATGGAACAATGGTCGTTTTTGTGACTAACCCCATCGATCTGTTTGTTTTGGAGGACAGACGGTTTGTTAACCCTTCGTGTGCAAGAAGTTTGGTAGAGAGATTCTATGGGCTACTAACAGCTAGCTGATGGTGTAAAATATAGAGACTGTTGTAGGTCGGCCGGTTAGTGTAGTTACTTACTGAATTACGAAGCCTGGTCTTAAACACAATTACCTACCATACAATTTGTAATTAGATACTTATAGGCCATCTTAAATACTAAGAAAAAAAGCAGCTTAGTAAAGTTTGAAATAACTATTTTTCTCTGCACTACCTTCGAGACAAACCGAAGCGTTTGCTGGTTAAGTAGCGAAAAAACTAATGAGAAATGTTAACAAAATTATAATTCTTTTTGATGTCGTATTTTGATTCGTTTAAAGTTCGCCGCTTCACAATACATCTTAAACTGTATTCTATTTATTCAAAAAAATATTACTGAATTCAAAAAGAAAAGTGATATTCACCAAATTAACACTAGAAATAAAAATAAATTGGCTATACCCGCTTTTAGACTTAATAAAGTGTTTGCCTCTTTTATGGGACAAGGTATCCATTTTTATAACAAAGTCCCTGATAAATATAAAGAGCTACCGTATAATAAATTTAAAGATATGGTTAAAGATCACATGCTTAAAAAAGCCTATTATACAACTCGAGATTTTCTTAATGATAAGTCATCCTGGGAGTAGGATTATGGTCCTCTCATGCTCGCACTAAAAAGAATTAAAATGAAAAGTAATGTATAAACTCATAATAATTTCTCAAATGTTATAGTGTCATGCTTCTCAATCTGGACTGTTACTTAGCTTTATTATTAGTTTTTTATTTTAAAGAGATAACTTGGAATTGTCATTCTCACTAAAATGTCTCTGGGGTGGTGGCGTAGTGAGGCGGGTCGTTACATTCCCTCTAATATGGTCGAGTGAAGCGATGGCTGGTTCACTCGTCATGTCTGTGAACAGGCGCTGCTTTCGGGGACTGGTCAATCCAAGTTATTCAAATTTATGTATGCGAGTCATTTCTACTAGTATCTTAATATGTAAGTCTAGATATTAGCACGTCACTACCTTGTTTAATATACCACGCAATCTTGTATACCCATTCTTATAAGATACACCATACAAGAATGCATGGTAAATTCAGTGAACTGCTCCTGAATCGAATGTACCTACTACTACTATTTCTATTTATTTATATTAACCGGCAGACAGTGGTGACTGAGTTTGTTGCGGCGCTTCTTCTCAGCACTTGCCAAATGTTGGTCTCGAAGCGCTGGTAGGGTAAAAAGATTAAGAGACATGTAGAGGCTCCTTAAGAGCAAAATGACGATTTGTAAGAACTATTTATTAGTCCAAACAAATAAAGAAATTTTGACTTTGACTTTGAAAACCAATACTAATTACTTTTCTAATTAGTCGTATTTTATTTTGACTCTACATTTTATGTTTTTTTTTCCTCTTTAGCCCCTTCATTAAAGCTGGCGGCAAATTAAGCAAAGCTCCCGGGAAACCTGTCGCATTTCTATAAGAGCAGAGCTTTAGCACTCCGTAGCTTTTAGCTGATTGCGGCAGCTTTGTACAGCCACTCGATGTTCGCGGAAAACGCTGGTTTCCTGGAGAAAACGCGAAAAAAAAGGAACAGCAGGATTTTCTTCAAAATAAGAAGTTAAGAGTCTGCGTTTTTTGGTATCAAAGTTGTGTTAAATGTTCTGACATTTCACAAAAAAAAACTGTTAAATACGATGCTACTGACTGCTAGGTATGCACAAAAACATCCCGAATTTAATTGATTGCGAATATCACACTTTGCTTTTTTGTTAAATTAGTAAGTAACTTATCTAAAACAATTTTCATGACAGCGTATAAACTACTAGGAATAGTGATTCCTAATCAATACAATTATTTGTCCAGCAGTGGACGTCATTTGGCTGAAACGAACGAACATTAATTAAAAATGTCTGTTAGTTTCACAAATTAATAACATGTTTAAGTTGCTAAACTGACAAAACTGTCGCCCAGTCCAAATTAATTCCGACAGCGATACTGTAGTCCTTTGAATTCCAGCCTGAATGGAATGCCGTATTGATTAATAACTGAAAAGCCTGTGTTTAATCAGCGCAGTGACAGCTGGGCAGCGCTTTCAGTTGATTGACAGCGGCTTTGGCTGTATAGACTGGTAGGACTCAATTCCGAGGTTGTTCGTCCACTCGGATTCACTTTTTGTCTTCGTTGAAGGGAAAGAGTATGTCAACAAATGTATTAAATAAAGTAACTGTAGGCATTTTTGGCTCTACTATTTCGCAATAACTACGAGTGACACATCCTTCTGAGTTCTGACATATATTGCAAGAATCGCAGTTATATCGTAGTTAAATAATATACTGAAGTACTACGGTGAATCAACTCCCTAAGTTATATGTTACCATAGGGGTCACTTAAAATAGGGATTGATGGAGAAAACGGGCATTAGAATAACTTATTACAAATCTGTGGTACCTATTAGCTTATTTGGTAGCATATGAAAAATATATTATCTAAGAATTACTTTACCGTTTATTAGACATGTTACTGTAATATTGTGTGTTGTTTCAGTCACCATAAGTTATGCCATAGGTACGTTTATGCAATAGAAACAAGGTTTTTTCCAGAAAAAGTATAACTACCTACCAAGTTTAAAAGCTCTTACTAGGTACATACTTTTATTAAATGGTATGTCAATGGGATAAATTGTTGATAATGAAACTTCGATTTAACGTGCCACTACAGAATCGGACCCAGTCTCGCATGACGGCTTTTAGCTGATTGCCAGCACAGTATAATATGAGCTACTGTGTTGCCAGCGCGTGACACTATTGTACAGTTTGCGGTGCCTAGTCC